CGAGCTGGGTTCGATGGAACCTATGTAATATCCCAAATTTTTTGAAATTCTAGCATTTAAGTTAAGGACCTTTGTGTGAGAAAATATTATTTTGAGGTCTAATAGTGAATATTCTGAAACTTGAGGGACTTAAAAGAGGAAAAAAATTTGGATAAGGATGGGCTGATTTTTTTTCCTTCTTCTTTCTCATCAGCCGCGTGTTTCTGCTTCTCTTCTTCGTCTCCCTACAGCCCCCCAAGCCCCTCCAGCCACCGACTCATTTCTTGAGAAAATTGGTGAAGAAGCTTGAAATTTCTCCTTCTTTCTTATTCAATCACAAGATTTGGGGCTTAGAACTCTCTCTAAACCCAGAAATTTCTAGATCTGTTCTGCTCTGCGTCTTTCTCCCTTTGCTGTCCGCCAATTGCTGGTGGGTGGGTGGCGAAATTTTCAGGTTTTTGGTAAGAAGCAGCTCGAAATTCCTCTTTTCTGACTTGATTTAACTTGGGTTACTCTAAGTTCCTCTTTTTCCTTCAATTTTGGGTTAATTCCGTGAGTCCCCTGCAGAGTTGCCATCGGCTTCTTCCCCCTGCCGGTTCGGTTCTGCAGCTGGAAAAATTCTGGTATGATGGCCACTTCTTTAAGTTCGAAATTATTCATTAATTGCTGCCTTGTTGAGTTTAATTGGTTGTATGGGTTCCCTGTGTTGTCCGAAAAACCTGCTGGAAGTAAGGGATGAATTCCCGCAGCCTTGAAATGAGTTTTAAGTTAAATCATGTAAAATTTTCTGTGATTGGATTACTGTGATGTTCTGTATGCATAGCCAGGTCTTAGTGCTGTTTTGCCAAGCTCGGTTCCTCCATTTTGTCCGTTGGAAATTTTCTGTTGAGATGGAGGAGTTTCGGCAGCCTTAAAACATGGGTTTTTAAGCTTGCTTAATGTAGAAAATTAGCTTATTTTGGCTATTGTGATTTTTGGAGAAAATCCCGTGAATTAGCTACTGTTTTGCCAAATTTCTGGAAGTTGCAGTTACTGTTCACGGCGTGAGTACTGTTCACGGGTACTGTTCATGGCATGTTCACAGATTACTATTCACGCACTAATGGCCAATGATAGGAAGGTTAAAATGTTTAGTTTCTAATAAGAATGAAATTAGAGGTGTTCAGTCATGTGGAGGTTAATATAAATAGCATCTTGATTAGGGGGTGATCCTAATGATGTTTTCACTGTGAATTTGCGGGTGCATGGTATTAATTCTGGGGTATTTTGATTAGGTTCTTGAGTGTTCTATCACCTGAGCACTTGGCTTGAATTCCCAGTATTACAGATTTGAGGTAAGTAAATTATGGTAACGCCCTTTGATTTCAAAGCATGTTTTAAATTGTTTTTAAGATGGTGGCAAGGTTTAAATTGATTTATTTGCACTGAGCATGATTGGTTTGAAATGAAATTGTTTTCATTTGCATTGAGTAGAGCATGCCTATTTGGAATTGACTGAGCTGCCTTGATGAATTGAGAATTTTGTAAATTCTGAGTTTTTCTGTTAAATCCATGTTCACATGGAAATTTTCCAATTTATTTTTGAAATTTGAGATTGATTGTGAATTACGAATTTTTCTGTAAATTCTGCATGGTTTTGTCTCTGATATAATCATGATTATTGACGCCCGCCAGTGGGAGTTTGCAAACGCTGGCACATGTAGACATATTTACTAATATGACCGGTTCATTTTGTAATCCTGTTAATGGGATGATACATTGGTAATTACTGACACCTGCCAGTGGGAGTTTGTTAAACACTGGTAATTATTGATGCCTACCAGTGGGAGTTTGTTAAACACTGGTAATTACTGACGCCTGCCAGTGGGAGTTGTTAAACATTGGTTATTACTGACGCCTGCCAGTGGGAATTTGTTAAACACTGGCCATGACTTATTGATGAGACTACTACTGAATTTTCTTTTGCATTAACGGTTTGTCATTGAACGCTTTGCTATTGAACTGAATTTGATTCTGCATTAATGGTTTATCATTGAACGTTTTGTTATGTTAAACTGTTTATCATGCATGCTAAAATTTTACCTAAGGGCTATCCATATTTACTTATTAAGTTATCTCATAGTTTTTCCTTGTCCACCATTTCAAGAAGTGAAGTTAAGGACGGGGAAAAACAAGGGGAGTGACGAGTTAGAAGGTTGTCCATCTTGTAAATTGAACATGGATTTTAGATATAAATCATGATCTTGTAAGCTAGACTTTATTTGAAGATTTTATGATATCAGGGCAAATTTTAAAATTTTATATTAATATTTTGTGGTATCAGATTGTGGTATGATAAGTTCCGAGCCTTCTACATTAATGGTTTGTCATTGAATGCTTTGCTATTGAACTGAATTTCATTCTGCATTAACGGTTTATCATTGAACGTTTTGTTATGTTAAATTGTTTATCAAGCATGCTAAAATTTTACCCAAGGGGTATCCATATTTACTTACTTTTACTAAGTTATCTCATAATTTTTCCTTGTCCACCATTTCAAGAAGTGAAGTCAAGGACAGGGAAAAAAACGAGGGGAGCGACGAGTTAGAAGGCTAGCCATCTTGTAAATTGAACATGGATTTTAAATATAAATCATAATCTTGTAAGCTAGACTTTATTTGGAGATTTTATGATATCAGGGCAAATTTTAAAATTTTATCTTAATATTTTGTGGTATCAGATTGTGGTATGATAAGTTCCAAATTTTGTGCGTTTGTGGGACTCTCTCACAAGTGTACGGCATCTACCATATCCTCGGATTTGGGTTCTGGGGCATGACAACCTATTTGCTGGGTTATATCAAACCTAGATCTGTTGGATTTGGTGGAACCCAGGCTGGGTTCTGTTGAACC